AGTTACGTAATCTGTCAACTTGTGAAGGGGTGGAGTCTAGCCTGTCAATCAGGTCACAACCAATGAGGCCTCTGTGTGGGCAAGGCCTACTCCTGAGGATTCTGGGGACTCCGGTCTTCCTCCTTGGAGGTGGGACACACACTCTCTCTGCTACTCTCCCTGTGAGACATTCCTGTTGACAAGCCACATGGAGCTACACTAATAGCGCCACAGCGCTGGAGCTGGAGGAGCCACACAGAGACCCACACCAGCACTGAGATCCTTCTACCACCACAGGATCCACAAGACTTTCTACCCACTGGCCTATGATCTTCCTGAATTCAGCGTCATTACATGCATTGTGTGAGTCTGAAGAGGAATTTTTAGATTGGTATTGGACATGTGGGCTAATATCGGATTTATGGACTTGATCTGGACTTGGCTGGGATGTTTTCTTAATATACAATTATTCTTTACATAAAGCTCTTTCTTATACACATATATGACTGTCTATGAATTTGTTTCTCTAGTCAACCCTGGCTAACACATGCCAACTCACAGTGCTGCTTTGTCTTCTCCTTCTAACTTAATTTTGTTTCCTAATCTTCAAAACAAACAAACAAACAAAAAAAGCCAACCTTTAAAGGAAACTCAGTTTTCCCCGATTAAAAAGCAGCCCTACTAGTATAAAGGTTACAAGTTGAGCTGCAATCCTCATGGTCAGCGGTTTGAAACCACCAGCAGCTCTGAGGGGGAAAGACTGGGCTTTCTGCTCCATAAACAGTTCCAGTCTCAGAACCCACAGCACTGACTCAATGACACTGAGTGTGGTTCTGGAGAATAATGTAAAAATTACTGAAACAACGTGGTTGAACTCCAGGATCTGCAGTTCCTTAGGCATGGACAAAATGGCTGGCATCATTGCATACAAAGGTATCTTGAACTTGATGGAGCGTATGTTGAAAAATAAATTCTATATATATTTTTTTATATTTTTAACTCCATTTTCCACTAACTTAATTTTTTTCATCTTTTAACTCCATTTTCCCACCAAGGCCCCTCATAAAATAATAATGTTTCATGGGATTTAAAATAGAAAGAGCATTAAAATCTATTATAGTAGAATACATATTAAAAGAAAGCAAATGGGAAATATTCTAACATCCTTCCATTTCCTAGGAAGAGGTGAAAGTATCAATTCATATTAAATTTTGATAAGTCAAGAATGCAAGTTTTAATCTCTAGGGTAACAGCTAACAGGTGACTGAAAGAGTATATTCCTGTGAAGTGAATTGAGAGGGGGGTTACGGAATCATAACAAAAACACTGGATCTAAAAGAAAGAAGAAAAGATAGCCAAAGAGCAGGAAGTAAAAGCAGAAAGCAAATTATAAGACGACAGGTATGAGCTCAGGCTCCTACGGAATATGCGCGTGTTGATTAAGTTATCGAGTGCTGCTTTAACCAAACTACCACAAGTGGGTGACTTTAATAAGCCTCAGTGATGCTCTAGGCTTAGGAGGTCGGAATACAAATTCAGAGTGTCGGCTCTTGGGGAAGACTTCCTCTTTCAGTCGTCTCTATGGGAGGTCCTTATTGCTTCTGAACTTCTGCTCCCTGAATCTTCATGTGGCTTGACGTCTCTCTTCTCCCATCTTGACCCCATTCTCTTGTGTAATTGCTTTTATACCTCAAAAGAGCCGGACTCAAGATATACAAGATACTACACTACTCTGGTCTCATTAATAGAACAAAGACACTCCATTCCCAAATCAGATTTTAATGACAGGCCTAGAGGTTGAACTTTACAGCACCTGTTTTGGGAAGAGGCACTCAGATGGCATAGTGGTTACAAGTTAGGCTGATCATCTCAAGGTAGGCAGTTTGAAACCATCAACCACTGTGAGGGAGAAAGATAAGGCTTTCTACTCCCGTGAAGAGCTACAGTCTCAGAAAGCCATGGGTGTAGGGCCCTGTCCTGTATGATCGCTGTGAGTCAGAAGCCACTCGATGGCACTGAGTTTGGCTTGGTTTGGATTTAAGGAAGACACAACTCAAGCCATACAATTCTACCCTTTGTCCTCCCCAAATTAATGTCCTTCCCACATGCAAAGCACATTCGTCCTATCCTATCCTGTCCCAAATCTTAAATCAACTCCAAGTCCAAAATCACATCTTTCGAAGTACCTATCCAGAGCTCCAGTGGCATAGGGGTTACATGTCGGGCTGCTAGCCACAAGGTCAGTAGTTTGAAACCACCAGCCAGGGGAAAAGTCCCATAAAGAGTTAGTCTTGGAAAGTCGCAGGGGCAATTCTCTCCTGTTCTGCAGGGTTGCCATGATTCAGTATCGACTTGATGGTGGTGGGTTTGGGTTGTGTTTTCCTGTATATCAAATATAGGTGAGATTTTAGGTATGAACCTGTGACATTTCTCGCAACATTCTATGCCATATGTTTCTCTCATATACTAAGAGCTTACTTTATAAATCTCATATCCTTCTGAGTCCCCATGAGAATTAGCTCTGACACCCATAATTCTACCAGAGTCTCCTTAAGGCAATCTAGACTTTCACTATTATAAAACTCGTTAGCTCCTGCCCATTATCCAATTCCAAAACCATTTCCACATTGTAGGTATTTGTTAGAGCACTCTATCTGATATGGGACTTGTAACCAGAATATATGGATAACTCTTACAATTCAATAAGAAGACAAATAACTTAATTAAAAGATGGACAAAGGATTTTAATTGGACATTTCTCAAAAGTAGATACGCAAATGTCCAGACACCACATGAAGAAAAGTTCGGCATCGTTAACCATTAGGGAAATGCAGATCAGAATCACAATGAGATACCATCTCACACCCACTACAATGTCTACATAATGAGAATACAATAGCAAGTGTTGACAAGGAATTGGAATCCTCACATATTGCCAGTGGGACATAGAAGCTACTTACTAGAAGGGGAATGAAGAATTAAATAGCCTACACATATAAAGAAAAAGCATAAACGCATGTCCACTTGATGGAGTTAACTCAACCAAGAAAATCCAAGCTTACCAAGAGGTGGATAGCGGAAACATGGTGAATGCAAATAGCAGGAGAAAGAGTCCAGATAATGACCTCAGCCACAGGCGTCTGAGAAAGCCTTGCGGGGCGGCGGGGAGCTAGCTGTGCACCACTGACTTCGCGTTTGTTGGAAGGTTTCAGCCCTCCAGTGGGCGGGGAAGAGTCGACAGTGAGTGGTGGGAATGATGCTTCTTTCAAAGTACCAGGTCCCGTGGTGGTGAGGCAGTATCATTCCAGGAGGTGTTCAGTCTGCTATTTTCCAGCAGTTCCAGCCTCCCCGCCACCCCACTGGGTTGTGTGCAAAGCCCCAGGTGAGGCGTGAGCACCGTGGTGGTTAGACTGCCCACTGCGAGTGTAGCAGTCCGAGACCACCGGCTGCTCTGAGGCTTGGGGGACGATGCGGCTTTCTACTCCAGCACAGAATGACCATCTCGCAAACTTACAAGAGCAGTTGAACCCTGTCCTGTTGGTCACCATGAATCTGCATGGACTCGCTAGCAGTGGGGTTCTTTGGGGTTGTTTGGATTTGGGGGGTGGTTGGTTGGTTTGGTGGGATCCTCTGGGCGCATAGTGGTTATGCATTGGGCTGCTAACCCCAAGGTCAGCCGTTAGAAACCACAAGCCGCTCAGTGGCAGAAAGACAAGGCTTTCTGTTCCTGTGAAGAGTTACAGTCTCGGAAATTCAGGGGAGCAGTTCTACCCTGCCCTCCAGAGTCACTGTGAGACTGTGAGTTGGAATCCACTTGACGGCAGTGAGTTTGGCTTGGGTTCGGTGGCTTGCTTGCTTGTTTCGATACCCCTCATGTATCGTCCCCACTTTGGCCCCTAAAATACCTAGACGACGCAAGTAACCCTTGCAAAAACAGATGGAAAACAAAGTTCAGAATGTGCCACTTTCACGCTGACAACAGATTGGGGAACCCTTAAAAAGAAATCCCAGCGTTGGCGATTTGAGGGCAACTGGACCCAAGTCTTCCTTCAGCCGGCTGTCTCCTGCCCCAGGCAGCCAGTGAGCACAGTCACAGGGGTGCAGCTGCCCCCCAAATTACCGTTCAACCTGAGTGGGGGAAAGTGCCAGCCCCAGGGCCAGGAGACCTGGCTTCTGATCCTACCTAGTTCAGCTCTATGGACCTGCTAGCAAGTGATTGCTTCTCTCTGGGGCTGTTTGCTCTCTGTTAAAGGGAAAAGGATGCTCGCAGACCGCACCCCCCCCCACCCACCTGTGGGGAATCCATTGGGGGTCAGGAGAGTGGAAGCGCGAGGCACAGTGCCAGACACACAGCAGTCTCTGGTGGCTGTGAGCGAGCTAGGAGCAAGTCCCCAACCCTAGGGGTCTCGGCGAGCCCTCCACAGCCGGCGGACTGCAGCCGGACACCTGCAGGAGCCAGAGCTCCCGGGCCGGGCGCTGAGTAGAAAGGGGCGGCCCCGCGAGAACGGGCGACGCCTGGCAGGGGCGGAGCTCGAACCCGCGGACCCAGACTGTGGCTTTCAACCCCACCCCGAGCCAGCCGGTCACGTGGCGGGTCACGTGGACTGACCCGGAACCGCGGCCGTTGGCTCTGGGCAGTGTTTGGCTGCAGTTCGGTACGTGAGCTTCCCGGCCGCTCGGAGCGCCCCGTGGGTGGCAGGGGTTTCTCCGGGACCCCTGGCGGCTCGCCGGAAAGGGAGGGAGGGATCGGAGGGGCGTCCCCGGGAGCGCCGCCCCTAACCTGGCCAACCCGGGCCCTGCGATCGCGGCTGCAGCCGGCCCCCCACACTGGCGGGTGGGTCTGTCTCTTCGCCCCTTCCAGTCAAAGTTTCTCCATCTCGCAGGTGGGGCGGGTGCCACGGCGGGGCCTTCGTCCCAGGGTCCCCATGAGCTTTAGGGGATGGGGGAGTTAAGGCTGGGCAATCTGTAGAGTGTCAGAATGGGGAACAGCAAACTGGCCCTCTGTCCCCCGCCCCTCCAGCTCCCCACCCCCGAGTTACAGTTGATGCAGGCCTCCAGCCGAGAGGAAGTGACCCCCAAGGCCTAGCTGTCCCGCGGGTGCAGGAGCAGAGGAGGGAGAAGAGGCCCCAGGTCCACATGATGAACTTGGGCGCTGGAGGGGCGCCCAGGCGGATCCCACAGGATCGCACAACATCCGGAGACCCTTTGCCAATGAGTCTTGGGTCTGCTTTTTAGAACTGGACAGACAGGAGAGCGGGGGAACGCACCAAGTAACGTTGGTCAGGGTCTTCCAACAGCCTTTTAAGTAGAACTTAAAACATCCATTTAAAAACAAAATGCCTAAGGCCAGTCATGCAGGTGGTAGCGGAGGTGCCCTGGTGGAACTGCAAGGTCAGAGGTTGGAAAGTACCAGCCGCTCCCAGGGGGAGAGATGCGTCTTTCTACTCCCATACAGAGTTACAGTTCTCCTCCCCCACAGGGTAGCAGTGAGTCAGATCTCCCCAGTGACGGTGACGGTTGAGTGTGTGATGTTGCTCAAATCCTTGGCAGAGAACAGCTGTGTACATTGCCGCTTAATTACATACACTTTTAATTTTTTAAGTAAGCTTAACTTTGCACTGGTCCTGCCCTTTCTCAGCAAAATATGAATTATGCTGCAGCCAGTTTAATCTTCCGGTTATTGGAAGGGAGGCAGGCAAGAATAATGGCCCATTCCCCAGAGGAGTTTGCTAAGGAGAGTCCGGAGCCCCGGTGGCACAGTGGTTACTGGTTGGGCTGCTAACCTCGCCCAGCAGCAGCTTCTCTGGAGAAAGATGAGGCTTTCTACTCCCAAAAGAGTTGCAGTCTTGGAAGCCCCCAGGGGCGGTTCTAACCCGGCCTCTGGGGTTGCCGTGACTCAGTGGCAGTGAGTTGAGTTGAGTTGAAGGTTGGTTCTGCCCTGGTGCCTGCTGTGACTGTCACCATTACCCGGTAGGAAAGTTGATGAGGGGTCTGTGGGAGTCTGAGGCTCAGAGAGGCTTTTGGCGACTTGGTAAAGTAGAACCGGGCCAGGTCTCCCGGGCCTTTTCTCCTGGAGGTGACTGTTATTCCACGGCCCTGTGGCAGGACACCTATTCCCATGCTTCTTACTGGGCTGCTGCATCCCCAGCAGGGCTGTCTCCTAGAGAGCGCCCTGGGACAGCTCAGGATGGGCTTGCTGAGCCTGACCACATCCTGCCCAGGTGAAATGGGAGCCAGGGAGGCAGGGAAATGGTGCGGTGGTCACCTGCGACAGGCAAGGGGCTGTGCTGGCCATGGTCAGGATCCGGGTAAGAGGTGGAAGATGAGCTGTCCTCTGGGCGGGGAGGTGCAGTGCCCTCGCTCTCCCTGGCTGGGGGAGGACTTTGTGAGAGCTCCCCCACCACCACCACTCAGCCCTTCTCTAGCTTGTTCACCACCCCGGAACGGACGAGCATGTCGGCTGGCCCTCCAGTCCACTCTGTGTGAAGCTTTCAAAGGACCCAACATGCTACATGCCCCTCCGTGAGCTGGTCTCCCTACCTGTCAGCTGCAGCCCTTCCTGAACCTCTGGCTGTTTGGAAGTTCCTTTGCTAAGGTAGGTCATCCTGCCCGACCTGGGCAGGTGGGGAGGGGGCGCCCCCATGGTGGCCTGTGGGAGGAGACAGATGAGGAGGGCGTGACTCAGCACTGCAGGTTCCAAGAGGCCTCACATCCCTGCCCCACTTCTGCATCCTGGGGGCACCTTTGCTTCATCCTGCTCCTCCAGATCCAGGTAGCCCTGAAAGCCTGTTGAGCCTCTGAGCCACACCTCTTTTCTTCATCCTCCTGGTCTCCTTCCCACACCCGAGGACCACACTGACATCACTTCTTTGCTCACTAGTCTACAGGGGCCCGCGCTGTTACCCACAGCCCCTCTCCTCCCCTCCTGGCAGGGTGGACCCCCCTCTCCCCCCCGCCAACTTGCTCATACTCACTTGGAGGGGGTTGGGGAACCAACCAGATTGAGTCTCCTTTCGCTGCGGGTGAGAAGTGGCCTGGCCCAGCGAGCCTACCCTGGCCTCCTGGTGACTGTGTCCCATGGAGCTGTCAACGGCTGGTTTCTCAGAAGTCGATCACCAGGCCTTTCTTCCGAGGTGCCCCTGGGTGACCTCAAAGCTCCAACTTTGCAATTAGCAGGCGAGCTCCTCTATGGTGTGTACCCTCAGGGACTACGCCCCACTCTAAATCCGGGCCCACCTGCCGATCCCCACTCCCTGAGCTTCTCATCCCCGCTGTGTTGCACCTCCTCTGCCTTCCTGTTCACCCCTCACTGGACCAGGCCAGGAGCCCTGATGGCGCAGTGGTTCAGCATCGAGCTTAACTGAAAGGTCGTTGCTTCAAACTCATCAGCTGCTCCTTGAGAGAAAGATGTAGCCATCAACTCCGGGAAAGACTCCCGTCTTGGAAACCCCATGGGGCAGTTCCCACTGTCTTGTCGGGCTGCTGGGAGTGGGAACAGACTGGATGGCTGAGGGGATCTTGGTTTGGTTTGGGAACAGGCTACTTTCTCGTTCATCTCACTCCGCTCAGTCTTGGCTAGAACCACCAAGGCCATGTGCTCGGACTCGATAAACCAAGTGGAGAAGCGGGAGGAGTTCAGTGACCCCCAGCCCCCAGGGAACCATGAATGAGCCCACAGCCTCAAAATGCTGGTAATTGGTGGGGAAACCGGATACTCCCCTCACAGAAGAGGCACAGCAGGGCCCTTCGCCCGCATCTCCTGTTAGCACACGAAGACCAGCCTGTACTGTCTCCAGAGCACAGCTGCCCCATGCCAGACCCAGCGCATGCTCCTTCCCTCACCCAGGCCTAGGAGGGCTGTCATGGGTCTGGTGCCAGGGGGAGAAGGGCCGGAAAGAGCCCCAGGCTGAGGAGCTGTCAGCCCAGCTCTGCACTCCCAGCTGGGTCTGGATCTAGTAAAATGGGGGTGCCTGCAGATGCGGTCAAGTAGTGGGGTCGCCCTCCTGCGCCACTGAGTTGTTGAGGGTTCGGTGACATCATGCCGGGAAGGCCCCCTGCCCAGCATGCAGCTTGGGCCCTGCGAGCCTTTGCCGGGCGGGACACCCATCCTCTTTGCCACTCAGGCCGAGCTGGTGGCTGTGCGTCTGGGAGGTGACGTGGCCTGGTGTCTCCCTGGCAGATGAAGTGTGTCCTGGTGGCCACCGAGGGAGTGGAGGTCCTCTTCTACTGGATGGACAAGGCGTTTGAAGAGAGTCTCCAGTTGAAGTTTGGGCGGTCAGAGAGTGAGGGAGAGGAGGTGAGTGCCAACTGGCAGCAGTGCCCGGAGGCTGGGCAGGAGGGGGCAGCCCGGCCCTCACATCCGAGGCTAGCCTCCAGAAGCCGCAAGTGAAGGTGAAGGAGACTTCCCACAGCTCCAAGTCTCCTCTTCCATCTAAAGAGCCCTCGGACTGTGCTTCCCCCAGGCAGGGATCCGTTTATTCTCTGGGCAGCCCATTGGTACTTTCAGTAGCCTTTGCCAGCACCAGAGTTCACGGTCATCAGTGTTTCTGTTGGCCCTCTTTAGTCAATGTCCAGCTTCCACGGGCATATGAGGCTGTTGCCAGTGCCATGGCTGGGGCGAGACGCACCTTGGTCCTCAAAGTAAATCCTGCCTTTTTAACTCTTTCAAAAGGTCTTTTACCCAAAGCAATGAGTGTGTCATTAGAAAAAGTTAGAAAAGGGTAAAATCCAGGTAGGGGGGGGTGGAGGGGGGGGGCCATCTATGATCCCTTTGTCTGCAGCTACAAAAACTTCAAACAGCACTGCCACGGAATAGTTCCACTGGGATTTGCTGTGTTCCCCATCTATGTTGGAATGGGAGAAGGCGTCCCAAAGTTCCTAGGAAAAATCCCTTCATCTTTTCATTCCATTTTCCACGAGCGTTTTGAAGGCCCCTCATTGAGAGTGTTGTTAGCCATGTTATTGGAATGTAACCTCGTATCAGAGGGATTTTCCGTGTCATTGAAAAGCCTCTAATATTTTATGTGATTGTAAACTCATCATGTATACATACAGGTCCCTATTTAATGTTTCTCTGGTCCTGCGTATTTACACAGATGTACTTTTAGCAGTTGTTGCTGTCTAAATGATGCTGTAGTGAATGGACGTCTCTGAGCAGGAATGATGCTCCCACGTCGATTTACTGAACAAAGAACATGGACCTGTTAGGTCCCTGGTACAAGCTTCTTCCTGGCAGCTAGCCAGTCCCCAGTTAACGTCCCCAACACCCTCCTTTGGAAACATGGCCCCTTTCTTCATGCTGTCCTCTCATTTTGGAGCCCTCAGCAGCACCGTTAGCTGGCCGCCCCTTCCCCGCCCTCCTAGCCACCCCCAAGATGCCAGGGACAGGCTCGCTCTGTTGTCTTCCTGGCTGATCTGAGATGATGGGCCTTTGTCCTTGGTGTCCAACACCCTCTGAGCTGTTCTTCCCTCCCCTTCTGTCCCGTAGCTGCCTGCCCTGGAGGACAGGCTCAGCACCCTGCTGGCCCCGGTCATCATCTCCTCCATGACGATGCTGGAGAAGCTCTCTGACACGTACACCTGCTTCTCGACGGAGAATGGCAACCACCTGTACGTCCTTCACCTGGTGAGCGTGTAGCCTGGGGCCCGTTTCCCTCTTTCTTCACGGGGCGTCCCCATTCTCTCCTCGATCCTGGACTTCAGATGCCTTTGTGTGTTAGTCTGGGTAGACTAGAGAAACAAAATTCAGAGACTCACATATGTGTTTAAGAAAGAGCTTTATATACAAGAGCAGTTGAATATTGAGGAAACAGCCCAGTCCAGATCAAGTCCATAAGTTCGATATTAGCCCATATGTCCGATACCAATCTATAAAGTCCTCTTCAGACTCACGAAACATGTGCAATGACGCCGAGTGCAGGAAGATCACAGGCCAGTGGGTGGGAAGTCTTGTGGATCCAGTGGCGGGGTAACCATCTCAGTGCCGGCAGGGCTCTCTAGGTGGCTCCACTGGTTTTAGAGCTCTGGCTGCATCAGTGTAGCTACATCTGGCTCATCATCAGTAATGTCTCACAGGGAGTGAGCGAGTGTCCCGCCTCCAGCGAGCAATTTTTCTCCTTAGCGCCTCCAAATGAGGTCATCAAGCTGCCACCTGATTGACAGGCTAAACTCCAACCCCTCACTCTGAACTCTCAAATTGACAACCACCACACTTTGGAACTACCACACTTTGGAAAACAGAAACTGCATCTCATCCAAACTCCCTGGGACCTCAGACCCTCCCCACTCTCCCTTGTGGAAAGGACAAGTTCAGGGAAGCTTTCAGGGTGGGCTGAATTGGTCCCAGCTGTGCCGACAGTTAAGAGCCCGGGGTCCACAGTGGGTCACATTTGGCTGCTTACTCCAAGGTCGGCAGTTTGAACCTACCAGCCACTTGGGAAAAAGATGAGACTTTCTACTCCCTTAAAGGTTGTATAGCCTTGGAAACCCACAGGGCTAGTTGAATCCTGTCCTATAGGGTTGCTATGACTTGCCCCCAAAAGCAATGAGGTGTTGTTTTGTTTTGGTTTTTTTTGGGGGGGGTGGTATGCCTACAGTTTGGAGAAGGAGCCCTGGTGGCATAGTGAGTGGGCTTACATGTTGGGCTGCTAACCCCAAGGTCAGCAGTTCTAAACCACCAGCTGCTCCTCAGGAGAAAGAGGAGGCTTTCTACTATAAAGCATTACACAGGGGCAGTTCTACCCTGTCCAGTAGGGCTGTGGTGAGTCGGCGTGGACTCGGTGGCAGTGAATTCATTTTCTTCTGGTTGCAGTTCGGAGAGTGCCTGTTCATTGCCATCAACGGAGACCACACGGAGGGCGAGGGGGAGCTGCGGCGGAAGCTGTACGTGCTCAAGCACCTGATGGAGGTGCACTTTGGACTGATCACCATGGACAGCCAGCTGATCCAGAAAGAGTGAGTCTTCACGGCTGGGCCCGGCTACCAAGCACCCAAGCAGTGTGAGCCCAGCTCTCTCTTGGTCTCTCACCCTCTCTTTGGCTCTGCCCACAGGCTGCGGCCCCCAGACCTAGAGCGGCGCCGGCAGGTGTGGGAGCATTTCCAGAGCCTGCTGTCCACCGCCAGCCGCCTGCGGGAGCAGGAGCAGTGGTTCGCTGTGGAGGTGCCTACCTGGTGACTACTGGGTGGGAGGGCCCTTAGGCTGTGGATGTATCCAATCAGCCGTCTCAGTGCATGCTTTTAGGTTAGCAGGAACAAAAATCTCTGAAGCGAGCTCTCTCAGCCTTGCCTCCCCTTCCAGAAAAGATAAAAATATATATTGAGAGAGAGGTAAATATACGGAACCGTGGTGGTACAGTGACTACCAGTTGGGCTGCGACCCCCAAGGTCATCAGTTCGAAACCATCAACAGTTTAAAACCACCAGCCTCTCTTTGGGAGAAAGATGGGGCTAGTAAAGTGTTATAGTGTCGGAAACTCACTCACAGGGGCAGTTCTACCCTGTCCTGTAGGGTCACTATGAGTTGGCATCAACTCCATGGCAGCGAGTTTGTGTGTGTGTGTGTGTGTGTGTGTGTGTGTGTGTGTGTGTGTGTAGTCCTGAAGCATAGTGGGATATGCACTGGTCTGCTAACTATAAGGTCAGTTCAAGACCACCAGCTGCTCCATGGGAGAATAATGAAGCTTTCTGCTCCCAGAAAGATATACAGTCTCAGAAACCCACAGACATAGTTCTGCTCTGTCTAATAGGTTCACTATGAGTCAGAATACACTCACTGGCAGTGAGTATTGATAATAAAAAGGGATGGCTTCAACATCAGATGACACAAACGATAAGCAGACAAGCTAAAGGGAAAATCAGTAAACCTGAGCATCGATCTAAAGCAATTCATTCTCACACCTCCACCACCACCACCACCACCCGACACCCCCCCAACTCTTCTGATAAATGTGTAGTAGCTGCTATGTGTCAGGTGTGCCAAGCTCTAGGAATTCAGCAATGAATAAATCCCACCTTTGAGGTCTTCCAACCACTGGACACATCAGCCCCTCAGAGGGAGATCCGACATGTGCACTACAAAGCACCCCAGGTACCATCTTAGACTTCTCTTCAAAGTCCATGGTGGCCCGAGGAGAAGAGCAGTCACCTCGCTCTTGGGTTATCCAGAAGGGCTTCTTGTAGGAGGTGACCTGACACCTGGGATCCACACTTGCTCCTGAACTTCCCTGCCCCGTCGAGCGACCTGGCCCCTCTCTGTCCTCCTCCTGTCGGACAAGCCATCTCTTGCCTTTCTTTTCCGCACTCACGGTGCACTGGCCACGTCGACTTCGTTCCCTTTTCTGAATGTGCTGTGTTTCCGCCCATTCAACATGGTAGTCACTGGCTGCAGGTGAGGGCCCAGGTGGCCTGGTGGGTTACCCAGTGCCAGCCATCCGAACCCATCAGCCGCTCTGCAGGAGAAAGATGGGGCTGCCTGCTCCCATGAAGATTCACAGCCTGGGAAACCCACAGGGGCAGGGCCCCTCCCTCCAGAGGGCTATGAGTCAGAATCAGCTCGATGGCACCGAGTTTGGTGATGAGCTGCGGGTGACTGTTGAGTCGCAAGCCACCCCCTTTTCTCTGTGGTTTGTCCAGGTGGAGGGGTGCTCCGAGTGCAGAACCCCGAAGAAGTTTTTATGACTCGGAACAAAAACTGTAGCTCCTTAATACTGCTCATGTGTTATGTGTTGGCGTGGTAATATTGGGGCTCTCTTGGGTAAGACAAAAGACCACTACCCATGTCACCAGTTTCTCTGTACTCTGTTCACGTGGTCCGGGGAAATGTTTACTTATGCATAGATTTCCACGTTAAGCTTGCCTTATGTTGCAACTGGACAGCACTGCCCCTGACTCTCCCTACCCCAGGGCCTTTGCATGTGCTGTTTTGTTCATCTTGTAGCATTCTCCCTCTCGCTCCTTCTTGGGTGGGCCCTCTTGTTCTTGAGATACCACTTGAAAAGATGGCCTCCCCAGGGCCGCCTCTGTGACCACTCGCCCCGACCCAGGTGCCTGAGCTTGTCCTCTGGTTCAGTGCTGCGTCTTTCCCACTCAGCACTCGCTCCTGTCGGCGTGTCCCCTGCCTGTTGCGTTACACACGGTGTCTGTCTCATCTGCTCTGGGTCTCCGGGGCCCTCCCACTGCCCGGGCACATTGTTGGAGTTCAGTCTGGACTGGCGACCCCTAGGCCAGGACTCGGAGCCGGGAGAGGGTGGTCAATGACACGGCTTCCTCTCCCTGCCCGCATGTGGCCAGGCCGTGGAGCGGCTGATCCACCCCCAGCTGTGCGAGCTGTGCATAGAGGCCCTGGAGCGGCATGTCGTCCACACTGTCAACACCAGCGCTGAGCGGGCAGGTGAGGAGGCTGTGCACGCCTTCCTGCTGGTGCACGCCAAGCTGCTGGCCTTCTACTCCAGGTGAGCCGAGGACCCCTGGCCCCTCCTGGCCCCTCCACCCAGCAAGCTCTGCTGCTTTCCCCTCCAGGACCACCCCAGGACCCCTCTCTCCCAGGAAGCCTTTCCCCGAGTCTCCAAGGCTCTGCCCACCTTGGCGCTCTCCCTTTCTTGATGCATTCCCTCCTGAGATACCATCTCCCGGTCGCAAGGCGGGAGAACATCCTTTTATGCGTCACGTGGTTTCCAACCATTTCCTGCCGATCATTTTTAAACACAGCTTTTATGACAAAAGCGGACGAATCTCATGGATACCTTGCCTTTCTCCATGAAAGGGTTAAGTCAACTGGATGGTGGGGACTTGCCTTGGCCTGCCCTGACCTTTCTGCCCCTCCAGACCCCTCGCCAGCCCCAGAGGGGAGGTGCCGTGAGCACAGGCTGACTCCCTATCCATCCTTCTGTCTGTTTCTACAGCCAAAACGCCAGCTCGCTTCGCCCCGCTGACCTGCTGGCCCTTGTCCTCCTGGTACAGGACCTCTACCCCAGTGATAGCACGGCGGAGGCCAACGATGTGCAGGTCTCGGGTGGCTCCCCCTGGGGCTTGGTAACCAGCCTGGACCGTAAAGAGCAGAGAGGATCCTGGTGTGCATGTCACCGTTCTGGGCACAGGATGAGACAGGACCCCCCCCACCACCTTCTAGATGGAGGAGGGGTTCTGGAAGGCATGTGGTGTAGGGGGAGTCAGACAGTCCTGGTTCGAAACCGGCTGGCCGGCCAGCACTTGATCTTGGCAAGCCCATTCCCCTGCACCCCGACCCTGACGGTGCTCACTCGGGCCACTGCGCAGGGCGGGGCGGGGGAACAAAGGGATGAGTCACATAGGCCCCCAACAGTGCCTGGGGTATAGAGGTCCCTCAGTGCAGCCCCCACCACCTCCACAGTCATCTCGCCACCTTCGTCGGCTGCAGTCATAGTGGGCTGGGAGGTCCCCGCATGCTCAGCTTCCGGGTTCTGGAGAAAGCCTAGCCCCCCTGTAGAGTTGAGCCCACTCCCCAGAAAGTGAGGCCCACACAGGGCAGCCGTGGGGAGGGCCCGGTTCCACACTGAGGGTGTCTCTGTGAGGTGCTGGCAGGCCCAGGGCCCCCATGGAGGACCCGAGTCAGACACCTCTAACAAGCACCACCCCGCCCCTCCACAGGCCACCCCGCAGAGGACGCAGGGCAGCCCGAGCATCCCTGTGTTGCAGCCCTGGAACCCCCACTCCGCACCAGCGGCCAGCAGCAGCTCGCCAGAGATGGTGGGAGCTGCGTGGAGGCGGGCGGGTCCTCCTCACCTATGTAGCCATGCCTCGCCCGGGAGAGCCGCAGCCAGGGTTGAGCCAGCCCGCCGCTCCGCTCTCAGCCCTCAGCCTGAGCTGCCCCCTTCTCCTTCAGGAGACAGACAGCTTCTCCCTCGAGGAGTACTTCACACCGGCGCCTTCCCCTGGCGAGCAGAGCTCAGGTAAGGCACGGGGATGGGGTGGAGAGGGACACGGTGGGCCCCGGGACACTCAGCAGCCCCAGGAACTCTGTATTGGAGTTCAGCGGACACCTCCCTGGTGCTAACACCCACATTCTTCAGGGTCTCCTCTTTGCCAAGCATGCTGTGCTGGCCCCAGCTCCCTCCCAGTCTCCCCTGCTAGTTCCAGCTTGGGCTTTAGTCCTGTGGAGGCCACTCAGCCTTCCAAAAACTCTGTAGGACACATCAGTTTCATTGTAGAAGTCACGTGTACAGACTTGAGCCAGTCTCTGCCTCCTCTTTTATTTCTTTATACTTAATTGATGACTGGGTAGAATTCAGCAATCGTCATTTGATCTTAGAGTGTATTTTAAAAGATATATAACCATCAGCTTCTAGTTTATACTTTAGGAGCCCTGGTGGCATAATGGTTAAGCACTCAGCTGCGCGCCAAAAGGTTGGCAGTTCAAACCCAGCCACCACTCCACAGGAGAAAGAGGAGGCAGGCAGCTGTGCTCTAAGAATCAAAATCGACTCAGCGTCACTAGATTATGGTTTAGCTAGCCTTTATCTGTTCTTCCAGAGTGTGGGTAAACAATAACAAGAGCTGAAAAATGTTTATGCTGCCATTAACAACTATAACCAAACACGCAGCTCTGCTTAGACAAATAATAAACCCAACCCCAGACTACTATAGTAATCGCTCTGACGACACACACAGTGGCTTGGGAGAAAGGACGACTACTGGTTTGCAGCATCTAACAGAACAAAAAAGGCCGAGGTTTCAAGCATCCCTGTGGGCTGGTGTTGAAGGGGACTCACTGGGTGGCTTACTAAAACCGGGAGTCCTCCACCTTGGCCACACACTGCCCTCACCTGGAGAACATAGCCAGCTGGGTTCAGGCATAGTCCCCAGACCTAGGGCTCAGGTGTGAATACTTAGGAGGCCTCGCCCTCTCCCCACCCTCCCCACCCCCCGAACCCCAGGTGAGTCCAGTGTACAGCCAGAGTGTAACCCACCTGTATGCGTACGCTTAAGTTGGGGCTTCAGTTAGACTAATATGGCGAGCTTTAAAAATGCAGGCCACCCCAGGTTATGAGGGAGATCTAATTGTGTTTTATTTGAAGTTAAGTTCTAGGTAAGTCAAAACAGGTGCATTTGGGTCTTATTTAGTCTTACTTCAGTGCAAGCAAAAGCCCTGATGGTGGAGTGGGTTATGTGTTGGACTGCTGACCGCAAGGTGAGCAGTTCGAGCCCCCTGCTGCTCCACAGAAGATGAGGCATTTTGCTGATAAAGATGCACAGCCCCAGAAGCCTAAAGGAGCAGCTCCACTCTGTCTTAGAGGGTTGCTAGGAGTTAGAATTGACACTCGAGGTTGGTTTCAGTGCAAGAAAAGTCTTGAGGCTTTTCAATGGTTCGAAAAATCCTGGTGGCACGTGCCACCAGTGAAGGTCATCGGATCAAGAATTGGGTGCAAGTTAGAGATTGTTGCCGACCTTTCCAAGTGGGAGCAAGTTTGCATAACATTAAAGGGCAAGTACAGGAGCCCTGGTTACCCATTGGGCTGAAAACTGTGATGTCAACAGATCAAAACCACCAGCTGCTCCAAGGGAGAGCTGTCTACTCCCATAGAGTTACAGTCTCGGAAACTCACAGGGGCAGTTCTACCCTGTCCTGTAGGGTTGCCATGAGTCGGCCTGGAGTCAATGGCAGTGAGCTTTTTGAAAGGGCAAACATGACTCCTCCAGATGTCAGGCCCTCATGACCCAGGGACTTGATGTACAGACGCTGGGCCTGTGCCTAGAGATTCTGTCCTAATTGGTAGGGAGTATGGCCTGGGCATCAAGAGTTTTAAAAGGTCCCCAAATAATTCTGATGCAGCGATGGCTGAAGACCACTGGGCTGAAGACCACTGAAGACCACATGTTCTTAACTGCATGTCCTTGGATGGGCTTCAAGGAGCTCCTGATACTCAGAGATGTGCCCACGCACACACAATAGCCCTTAGCTTCCCCTGCGAGCACCCCACCCCATTCTACAAGCACCCCGAAAGCCCAGAACAGGGTGCTCGGGACTGCCTGTTCCTTTCTCGTACTGCTTCCTTCCCTCCTCCCAGATCGGCCTCTGCAAACACCCCTACCCCACCCCAACCCATCTTTCGGTGGTTGGTTTCCTCGGCCCCTGAGCTGTGAAGACTGCCATTCCATGACACGTGTGCTTCAGAAACAGTGCGGGCCGCACTCATGGATCTGTGAATCTGCAGCACGCTGCTCCGGAGGAACAGCATAGTGAACTGTGGTTATTCACAGTGAGGCATAAGAGAGAACAATACTGTCACAAGCACAGAGTATTTCAGCTGTGCAAGGAGCTACCGAGCAGGAGGGCAGGAGAGCAGAATGCCTAACACATAGTAGGTGCTGAGGAAAGGGTTGCTGATTGAGCGGATTCCCCGGGGAAACGATGGCTGTGCTGCCTCGCTGGTGCTCCGCCACTGCACCCCCACCAGGGAGCCCTGAAGGAGCCCTGGTGGCTGGAGTCCCTCCCTGCTCTGCAAACTGGCCTTTCCCCCGGCAACAGCCCTCCTCCCAGCCCAGGACGTGTGTGGATCTGGGCACTCCAGGCCAGAGAGCCCATGCAGGCAGGGGAGGCCAACATACCACAGCGGGTCAACACACTCTGCCTGCTATCTGGCCAGCAGCAGTAGGCCTGTCATTTGAAGCTCCCGCCTGCAGAGGCTCCTTGGGGTGGGCTTGAGAGCCATGGGTGCAGAGGGGTCAGGCATCCCACAAACAGATGAGGTGGGCCTCAGAGGCCCCGGAGGGTGGGAGCCATATGTCCCTGCGCACCAATGTAATGTGCACCCCTCCTGTCCTGACGCATGAGGCTGGCACCACATGGCAACAGCTCCTGCCTGCCCCGGAGCCAGCCACGACCGGGCTATAGCAGCCGCATGCTGTCCTCCACCCTGACCCAGCTGCAGATCCTACCACAGGGAACTCCGCTGCCCTCGGGCCTGGCTGTCAATGGCCCAGCGGAAACACGGTGTCCATCTATCTCCCGATGGCCAGGTCCTACTCAACCCCACCCACAATTTCACCATGGCTTAGACCTTTAGGATATGATCACCTATGATCGACGATAGCCTTTTGGGACTAGGAACCGAGGGTGGCATCCACTTGGGGAAATTTCACAAGGCATGCAAGGGTCAGTAAGCGTGGGGGTGCTGGCCAGAATTTGGGGGGGGGGGTTGCATTGTTTCTTCATGTCTACCAGTGTGTGCATGTATTGTTTACAGAGATGCCAAACAAGACAGTGCTCCCAGAAACTCGGCCCTTGAAGCCTCTGTGGAGCACAGTCCTCCCTTCCACATGCAGAGGGTCCCCAGGAGCCACAATCAGGGACAGCTGGGATTGTGCTGGGGGGTGTCGAGGGAATGGGGAGACTAGGAGTCACGAGGACATAAAGGGGTCAAGGCCGCGATGCTGAGGAGCTCTGGAGAAGTAGGCCCAGGCGGCGCTGTCTATGGCGGTGGCTGTCGAAGTTTGCGGGATGAGAGGCACTCCAGTGTCCCACCTGCTGCTCCCAGATGGACAGACAGACCAGCAGGGGAGCCTTCTATGGCTACCCTCCCCACTCCTCCTCCCCCACTGACACCCCACTATGGCCCGCAGGTAGCACCGTCTGGCTGGACGGGGACACCCCACCCCTCCATGATGAGCAGATCCAGGTGAGTGTCCCTCAGCAGGTGTTGGGCAGGAAGGGTCACCTGCGCCCGCCAGCTGGTCTGAGAAGCTGCGGCAAGCACAGGAACTCCAGGCTTCGCCTCCAGGGGGCTCCACTGGCCAGCTTCCTCCTGTGCCTCCCGCTGACCTTGCAGGGGTAGCCCTGTGTGAAGAAGGGTGACCTTACCCCATACCCTCCCCCAGGAGCCGGGCTTCAGCTCCACCTAAACCCCCCACCCCCACCCCCACTTCCTCACTATTCTGAAGAGTGCGCGCCAGCCCAGCTTGGTTTTGATTGTTTTTGTAAACGAGAGGTTGCATATGCTCACAGTTGAACAATTGGAACCTAAGAAGTATGGAAAAGGAATCAAAGCTCCTCTCAAACCCATCCCCCGATGCTAATCCCTACAAACGTTTTGGGGTGTTTCCCACTAATCTTTTTGTCTTATGAATTTGTGTGCGTGTGATTCTAAAGTTTGTGGGAAACCCTAATCGGCGGTAATGGAATTTTTCCATGAACTTCTCAAAGGCTTGCGCGTACCTTGTCTTTTCCACCAGATTGGGACCGCAATGAAACTCCTTGCTTTTTAAGGACTGTTTCTAAGCATTCTTCCGCAGGACGGTTTTGAATGACTGCCTGATAATCGTCTGTCACATGGCTCTGTTGCTCTTGGCTTTTGTGTTTTGCCGAGTCTAAGAGTTGACTCATACATTGTTCTCGGTCTTTTTAATGTTGCATCCTTCTCTGGGCACTTTTGTGCCTTCCTCGGCGATTTCCTCAGCTCGTGCAGATTCCTTTGGCCAGGAAAGGCTTTCTTACTCAGGGCCCTCTCTCAGGCTGCCGTCTTGCTCCCTCCGTCACTTAGCAGCTGTCCGTTTCCCCTCCTGGACAAGGTGAGTGGCTGAGAGGGACGGAAATGGCACGGCGTTCTTCAGCTCTGAGTATGGATGGCATGAGAGGGCCTCTGCTCTGCCCAGTGCCCTGCTTCTCCTCTGCCTGCCTTTTCGGGCCCTTCTCGATCGCCTACCCCCAGCCCCTGTGCCCTCTCCCACTTGGAACGGCCTCTCCTGATGCTGGGGCTCTGAAAAGCAGGAGAAGAAGCTGGGAGAGAAACAGCAGGGCTGGAGCCGCTCCAGAGGGTCCGGTGGGGTTGCAGACAGACCTGTGACTCTTTGTGTGACACTGCCCTCCTTCCTGGTTCATCAGGAGGACAGTCCTTGGGCAACTGTGGGTGGCTCTGAGTTGGGAAGGAAGCCAGGCGACCCTCCGCCCCCTGCCCAGCATTCCCCAATGGCTCCTTCGTCCTTGTAGGTGGGAGAAGACCCCCTGCAGACGCTGGACTCCCACTCCCCAGCAGCGTCCAGCCCTAGAAGGATTTTCCTGGATGTCAGCGTGAGAGAGAAATACTTCCCCCTGGTGCCCCACACCTTGTACTGCCTGCCCCTGTGGCCGGGCATCAACCTGGTGTTCCTGACCAAGGTACCAGGGCCTTTGCCCTGCCCTAGTGACCCCAGCCAGGCCCTGAACATATACCCACACCACCGGCCGCCCGTCTCACCCAACGCCATGCTTTCTCCCTAGAGCCCGGGCACCCCCCTGGCCCTGGCCCTGTACGAGCTGCTGGATGGGTTTTCCCTGTTGGAGAAGAAGCTGAAGGAGGGTCAGGAGACCGGAAGTGCTCTGCGGTCCCACCCCCTCGTGACAGACCTGCGCCAGAGGATGGACAAGTTTGTCAAGAATCGAGGGGGCCAGGAGATTCAGGTGAGGCCCCAGTCTCCACACGTGGCTGCCTTGGAGGAGAAGAGGCGGGGCGGCGGCGGGCTTTGCACGGCCAGGTCTGACACGTCCGCCGTGTGGAGCAGAGCCGCTCTGCGTGGTTTTCTTGGCTGTCATCTAGGCCTCGCTCTCTGATGGTACCGCTGGGTGGGTTTGATGTGACAACCTCTAGGTCAGCCGCTGAGCATAAGCCATTCGTACCACCCACGTGGAGAGTTTCACACAGAACACAAATGATATTTTCCATACTACTCACTGCCATCGAGTCAGTACTGGCTCCTAACAACCCTGTAAGACAGGGTAGAACTGCCCTGTGAGTTTCCGAGACTGTAACTCTTAACAGGAGTAGAAAGCCTTGGCTTTCTCCCAAGGAGCAGCTGGTGGTTTCGAACTGCTGGCCTTGCAGTTAGCAGCCCAGCACGCAACCACCAAGCCACCAGGGTTCCTATGCGAGGAAACAGGCTTCAATAAATCATGATTTAGCTAAGGCTACTCTGCTATTGAGCCTCAGAGTCAGGCCAGCTGTGGACAGGGTGTGGGGCAGAACTGGATGCAGGAGGCGGAGACAGCCCCTGGCACAGTGCCCCTTGGAGTGGGAGTGGGAGTGGGAGTGGGGGCAGGGAGTAAGGCCTGGAGAGGTGGAGAAGAGGCCCCCAGCCCCAGGAGCTCAGCTAGGGGCATCAGGACCAGGAGACAGCCCTGTCCAAACAAGCCTGGAACCGAGTGCAGAGAGCAGGGGTGAGACTGCTCTGGCCAGGCAGCCAAGGGCCGGGGAGTGTGTGTGTGGGACAGGGGTCTGTTTAAGGAATCCTGAAGCCGGGTGCCTGCAGTACAGGCGGATCTGAATTCGGCAGAAGGACCAAGCAGGCTGTGAAGGCAGCCCACACTCCCTGAGGAGCCAGGCAGCTCAGCTCAACCTCTTCTAGGCTGGGGCCCTGTTCGTCACACTAGAGCTCTCCCCCTCTGAAGGGGTCTTGCTCTGAGGATCAGCAGTGGGGGTGAGGGTGAGGCCATCCATAAGGATATCAACTGTGCCCCCCCCCCTGACCTATTTGCCTTCCCTGGAGGCACTTCCCCCTGCACCCCACCAGCATGTCTATCCTTGGAGAGGCCAGGGTCCATTGCTTGTTAGATAAGAGTCACTAGCCATATGGGGAAGAGTGGTGGGAGCGGGCTGGAGCTGGGGCTGGGGCTGCCTGAGAGGCCAACATGCAGGTGGATGGACTCATGCTGAGCCTGAAGGCTGATGCTCGCTGCGGGAATGTCCTCAGAAAGCCGCCTGTCACCTGTCCTTACAGAGCACCTGGCTGGAGTTTAAGACGAAGGCCTTCTCCAGAAATGAGCCAGGATCCTCCCGGGAGTAAGTAGTGGCCCTGAGAACAGGGAGCTGTTTCCCAGAGACTCCAAGCTCCCCTTGAGCCACGAAGGAGGGAATGCGTGCCCCATTTCTCCCCTCTCCCCTCTCCCCCCACCAAAGAAATCTTCTTCCTTAGGAGCCTAGCAGGAAGAGGCCCTGGGGAAACTGAGCCGAGCCTTGGGGCAGGAGGGCAGGGAAGCAGGGTGTAAGGGCCCCCCTACTACTGGAGAAAGACCTGCCTTCGTTCGGACTCAAGTGTGGCCCTGAGCACTTCTTTATGAGCACGACAAGATTGCAGGGGGCATGGAGCCTGCACCCTGAGCCAGGGCTCCACACGGGGAGGCATGAGCGGCTCCTAGCAGGCCGGTGGGGGTTGGACGGTCTCAGGGTGTTCTCCCAGGCCTGGGCGCTGTGACCCTCTCGTCCCCTGGGCGGGCCAGGCTGCTCTCCACGTGCAGGAAGGTGCAGCAGCAGCTCTTCACCATCTACCGGCTCAGCTTCCTGAGCACCGCGCCGGGTCGGGGCAGCCCCCACCTCCCCCAGCACCTGCAGGACCAAGCCCGGCAGCTCATGCAGTAAGTCAGTCGGGGCTGGCCCCGCCACCAGCCGGGGCAGCATCGGGGATGTGGCTCACGGTGGCCTGTGCTTCCCCGGCAGAGAAAAGCTGGCGGACTGGAGGGACTTCTTGTTGGTGAAGAGCCGGCGCAACGTCACCATGGTGTCATATCCTTCCTCCCCAGACCCCCCTCTCTGATGAAGCTTGGGGGGCCGAGGGAAGGGAGCTGCTTTCCTGAGAAGAAAATTAATGGAAGGTGGTGTCCTGGCAGCCTTGTCTGCAGAGATCCCAATGAACAAAGTTCCTGCCCTCTCTAAGGGTCTCCTGCAGGAAAGTCTTGGAGATCCTTTGCCTCCAGGCTCCCTGACATGAGACCCTTTGCCTCCAGGTTCATGGACAACATGAGCAGTATAGTCAGTGGCACTGAATTACACATGTAGAAGTGGTTGAGTTGGAGAATGTTTGGTTGTGTCTATTTTTGACAACATTGCAAAATGCACATGGGGGTGGGTTTCAGTGGTCTGGGGGCTTGAGGGCCCTCTCCTTCCTAGGAACCCCACCCCCACCCCCACCCCCGCCCGCAGTGAGTCTGCCCATCCCTGTTCATCAAAGAATTGCTGAGCCTGTTTGACCCCTTTGCAGGACAAAGACGAGGCTGTCTACTCCCTTGGAGAGTTGTAGTCTCGGAAACCCACAGGGAAGCTGCTTCTACCCTGACCTATCGGGTAGGAGTGGACCCATGGCACGGAGTTTGTTAGCCCCTATGCTGTGGACACGTCGTTTTGTGGCGCGCTGATCATCCAGGGGACGTTCTGTCGATCAGCTCTCCCTATATTCATCTTTCTAGAGAGCAGGCCCCGGGGTCCGGGGAGGGCCCTCTCTAGCTATCAGCCACTGCCCTTTGACGGGGGTGGGATGGGGAGTGGGGGGGTGGTGTTGTCTTCTAGCCCCTTAAATGGAAGCTTTAAAAAAAAAAAAGTTTTATTGGCATTTCATCCACATGTTGTACAGTTCAACAATTCAGTCATGTCAAGAAGAGTTGTACAATCATCACCATCAATTCCTGAGCGTATCCTCCCCCCACCCTCATTGTTCGTCATGGCATCTTTTTTGCAATGTTGTCAAAAATAGACACAACCAAACGTTCTCCAACTCAACCACTTCTACATGTGTAATTCAGTGCCACTGACTATACTGTTCATGTTGTCCAACCATTATTGATGTTCTTTTCAGATTAGTCCGCCACCATCCACAGAGACTCAGGGCCCCTGAGCAGAAACTCTTCCTCCTTCGCCCTTAGGGAGGCACCAGTCAAGTTTGGTTTCTTTCTTGTTTCTCAGGGAGTAGTTTTCTTGATAGAGTAGTCACGTGTTATACACTTCCACAGTTAAATCACTTTTTAAAAGAGTTGTACATACACCGTCACAGCCTGTTCTAATGCTCCCCTCCTCCTTCCCACATTCACTGTTTGCTCCCCAAGTCCCTCCCCAACCCCACCCCACGTCCCTGGGAAACCAATGGAAGACTCATCCTCTTAAGATTAAGGGGAGGGGTGAACAAAGCGTGCGGTGTGGGGCTGGGCGGCCTGCTAGGCTTACCCATTAGCTACATGGCTGTTACACAGCCTCATAGTGTGTGCAATTCATGCTCATCTGGGGTTCTGGTGGGCTCCGGAACTGCCCATGTTGTCAAGGACGGAAAGCTGGGAGGTAATGAAAGACCCCCAGAAGAGGAGGGAGGGTAGAAGGGACTCTTTGTGGGGGGTATGGTACACCTGGCCCTGCTGACCCCACTGCCTGCCAAGGCTGACATGCCCTCCCTGCCTCCTGGCTATGTGAGCACCTTGACTCAGACCTCACCTACCTGGAAGACTTCCCGGGCCTGGTGCACTTCATCTTCGTGGACCGCACAACTGGGCGCATGGTAGCGCCTTCCCTCAGCACCAGTGAGCAGGCATCTTCGGAGCTGGGCAAGGGACCCCTGGCAGCCTTCATAAAAAACAAGGTAACCCCCACCAGGCCCTCCTCACTGGCCAGCAAGTGGCAACACATGAGCTGTCCAGGAAGAACAGGTCCCCGTGAGGGTCTGGTCACACCACATTGACCCTAGCTGGCCCACTGTGTGCATGCCCATCTGGCTGTGAGCTCCCTGGGAAAAGCTCCCTGACTTGGCAGCCTTCAGGACTCAGGACCAGGGCCTGTTGGTTGGGGGATGCTCCTGGGTGTGGCAGAGGGGTGTGGGCAGTGAGGCCAGAGGGAGGAAATGACCGTGCCCAGCAGAGTGCCTGGCGTATGAAAGGCTCGATGAAAATATACAGAATTCACTAAAATGGACAGAAGAAATTGAGGTGGCTCTCTGCTTCAAAAGTCCTTTCTTGGGCAGTGTAGGGGATGTTATTCTCCTAATTTAATTGACTCCTCCTCCTGGCAACATGATATTTTTAGTGGTGGTAGAGGAGAGGAGTCCCCCCCGCCTTTTTTTTCTAAATAATTTTATTGGGGGCACTTAGAGCTCTTATAATAATCCATACATCAATTGTATCAAGCACATGTGTATATATTGTTGCCATCATTTTCAAAACGTTTTCTTTCTACTTAAGCCCTTGGTATCAGTTCTTTTTCCCCTCCCTCCCCCCACCCCGCTCCACCCTCGTGACCCCTTGATAAATTATAAATTATTATTATTTACATATCTTATACTGTCCGCTGTCTCCCTTCACCAACATTTCTGTTGTTCATCCCCCCTGGGGGGGATGTTATACATTGATCATTGCAATAGGTTCCCCCTTTCTCCTCCGTCTCCCCGCACTTTTCTCATACCCCATTACTATACCTGAGGGGTTTGTCTGTCCTGGATTCCATGTGTCAAGAGCTCTTAACTGTATCAGTGTACATGCTCCAGTCTAGCCAGATCTGTAAGGTAGAACTGGGGTCAAGATAGATGGGGCAGGACGGTGGGGGGGGAGCATTAAAGAACTAGAGGATTGTTGTGTGTTTCATCAGTGCTGTACTGCACCCTGGCTGGCTCGTCCCTTCCTTGGGACTCTTCTGGGAGGAGATATCCAGTTGTCTACAGATGGGCTTTGGGTCTCCACTCGATCCCCCTAGTTTGCACTGATATGACTGTTTGTTTGGGATCTTCAGATGCCTGATAACTGGTCCCGTCGACACCTCGTGATCATACACAGGCTGGTGTGTTTCTTCCATGTGGGCTTTGTTGCTTCCCTGCTAGATGGCCGCTTGCTTAACTTCAAGCCTTTCAGACGAGGGGTCCCTTTTTACAAAACAGCATCTAATGGACACACACGCTTGACCCCATTCACACACATATGCACGAGGGAACGTGAAGGAGTATGGCTATGAGGTTTCCAGTTCATATGCACACATGCTTCTTGCAAACAAACCTAGTTCAATCATGGCTTTGCAACCACTAGATGGCTGCCGACAAATCTCTGAGGATACCCGGTCTTCATCTCATTAGGGAGCGTTCCAGGAAACGGTCCAGTCAAACCATTGATTTCCAAGGGGGTCTGCCAGGCCAGTGTAGTTCAAGGCAGTGTGGTACTGGCCAGAAGGTACTGGTCACAGCCGTGCGGACATTTCCAGAGGGTAATCTTAGTAGGTTTTCTCAAAGCACTCAGGAAGATCACGGGCATTATTAAGAAGAAGATTTAAGAAAATCGAAAACTGCATTGGTGCGATAAAGGACGGGGAAGATGCACTGAGGAATTTTTTCTGTCCCTCCATCTGGAGGGCCGCCGGGTGGGTCCTGGGAGAATTTCACTGGGAAACCTTCCCCCAGCCACCCGGCAGCCCTGACCGTGCCCCTTCACACCTCTCTGTGTCCCTAAACCTCAAAGAACATGGACAAGGGGCGTTCTTTGCGTCCCTTGAGCATGCTGTTTGGATGTCTCAACGGAGTGGAGAATTATCTGGGGAGGGGTGAGAGAGAGAGAAGTGGACAGACCCAGATGGAGGAGAGGCCAGGAACCAATAGTTCTACACTTTGATGTTTTTTATTTAATAGAGGTTTATATCGTTTGATAGCATACTCGTTGACTTATGTGTATGTGTATATGTTGTTAGTAAGTGTGTGTGTGTGTGTGTGTGTGTGTGTGTGTGTGTGTGTGTGTGTGTGACAGCGTACCATTCTGGTTGAACTAAGGGAAGTCTCAGATTCCTGTGTTTGCAGCCTGGCTCTACCCCTCACTAGTGGTGTGGCTTTGGGTCCTGCTCAGTCGAAGTCTTAGTGTCCTCACCCAAAAAGAGGTATAACAACACCATCTTCGTCCCAGAACCATTGTGAAGATGACCAGACTGGTATCACTCACGGAGCCCCAGCTGGTACTATCAGTATCACGGTCTCCCCTTCTCCGGATCCTGGGCATTGTCACCTTGGCACATGGCTTCTTGTGGCCAGTCCATTTCCCCGTCATTGAGATCATGCCGGATGTGCGGTTGTGGTTGCCGCCTCTTCATCTCACACCGCATCATGCGTTTCCTCCTGTCATTATTCTTCGCGAGCCCGATTTTCAACAGCCCAATAATAGTCCATCGGGTGGATGTAGTGCAATTCACGGACCCATTTCCTGGTGTTGAGCGAGCGGCTGTCTCCGGGCTTGCGCTGTGATGAGCAATTCCGCAGCAGCACACATCCTCCCGCCGATGCCTCTGCTCCTTGATTCTTTCCACGATGTGGATTTCCAGCAACGGAACGGGAGGACTGTTTTTTAAGATTATTAATGCATGCTGTCAAATGGCTCCCCTGAAAAGTGTAGCCAGCCCGTGGCTCCCTTTCCTGGCTGAATTAGAGAGTGTATTGTGGTCAGGTGTGGTGGGAATCAGAGATCCCTTCCATGCTTTGTGGTGAGGGGTGCTCACCCCCCCCCCGCCCCCCGTGGGTGTGGGGAGAACGTGCAAGCCCTCCCCTGGGCAGTCCGTGCAGGGCGCCTTCAGCGTCAGGGGGGGCTGCATTGGGTGGGAGAAGGTAGAGGAAGGCATCTGAGGGACCTCCTCCAGAGAGCCCGTGGCCTTGGTGTGGCCGTGCCCTTGAGCAGGGCAAGCACCTCTGGGCTCAGGCACTTGGGGCCCGAGGCGACCCTGGACCACAGGAGGAGTGGCCACACCTTGATCTCAATGCCCCTGGCTATTTCCGGGCCTGAATGGTTATATTGATTTCTGGCTCGTGTGCTGGCGCGTGAAAGTGATACGAGGTGTGCTTCCATGTATGTATAGTTATCCTCCCAAGGATTCTAGAGCAGCGGTTCTCAACCTTCCTCATGCCGTGACCCTTTAAGACAGTGCCTCCTCTTGTGGTGACCCCGCAACCATACAATTGTTTCCGTTGCTACTTCATCACTGTCATTTTGCTACTGTTATGAATTGGGCAGCCCCTGTGAAGGGGTCATGTGACCCCCCAAAGGGGTCGCGACCCACAGGTTGAGAACCACTGCTCTAGAGGGTAGCGTGTCTGTCCGAGCTGCAGAGGTGATTCCCACTCTGAGCAGACATCCTACGGAAGCGATGGGCAGGTGGGAGAGGCCCTGGCCTCGGGGAGCTTTTCTGCTGCCCCTTCAGCCTCAGCGTGCAGAGCCAGGATTGTGGCGCTGAGCACTCTCCCCCTCCCTCTCCCGGTCTCTACAGGTGTGGTCTCTGATCCAGCTGGCACGCAGGTACCTGCAGAAGGGCTATACCACGCTGCTGTTCCGGGAGGGCGACTTCCACTGCTCCTACTTCCTGTGGTTCGAGAACGAGATGGTGGGTGCGGCCCACTGGGCTCAGGACCAGACACACCTGCCTCGCTTTCCTCTCTTGTAACTCTGGGCTTCCTGGTTTCCGAGTGGTATCTGGCTGTCCCTTCTCCTCCTCTTGTTCCTGGTGGAAGGGAGGACAGGTAAACAGCTGGGTGGGACCCACAGCTCTCAGGTCTCGTCCTCATGTGGGCTGGTTAGCTTCGCCGCGAGGCTCCAGCACCCAGCTAGCTGCCTGGCAGAACCCTGCCTTGTCCAGACATGCACTTAGACACGTGAACAGGTCAAGGGAGGCCTCAGCGGGAGGCCACTCAGTCACGTGCTTCCTGAGGAGAGCTTCAGTACTGTCAGGTCATGCAGACAGGAGAGCACACCGCTGTCCCCTTGTGCAGGTCACCCACCTGCCCCAGAGGTGCAAGAAGTATGGTCAGATCTCCACTCTCTAGACTGCCCTGTTCCTGGTGTCACTGCAAGTAGTGGGACTTACTCACCCCTGCCGTCCCCTCCACTCTGCAGCAGCTCTCTGAGGCTCACCCCTGCAGATCACTCATGTCCCCCTGGGTCCCCTGCATATGCTCCTTCTCTGCTCTTGGCCACAAGCCCTTCTTCTCTTCACCCTGAGGGGCCACCTGCCCGTCCCGCTGTGCTGGGTCAGTACTTTTAAGGGCTCTTCTCTCACTGGGCTCTTACGCCAACCCCCTGTGATGGTCAGCGAAGGCATTATCGTCCCCCTTTTACAGATGGGGATGCAGGCAACTCAGCACCAGGCACCCCGCAGGGCTGGGGCGGGGGAGGGGCGGAGGGGAAGGACACTGCCCAAGCCCACAGCCTCCCTGCCCTCACGGCCCACCTCCTCCTTCTGCAGGGCTCCAAGCTGCAGATCATGGAGGTGCCTGTCCTGGCTGATGACTCGGTTCCCATCGGCATGCTGGGCGGGGACTATTACAGGTGATCCCAAGCCGGAAGGCCTTTGGGGGATGACAGGTGCACCTGGTGCTTGGTGAGATGTGCCAGCCCCCCCCCCCCCTTGGAGCGCAGCGCCTCCCATCGGGAATGCCCCACCCAGGCAGCTGGCGGCCCACCTTCAGCGCTCCTCGAAGCCAGGCCAAGTTCCCTGAGAGGAAGGAAGCAAGCTGGGAGGGCTCCTGCATGCCCAGTCTTCCTGTTCGCCCAGTTTTGGGCAGCCTGTGGCAATGTCCCTGCCAAACACCAGGAGGATGTCCCTGCGGGCCGGTGGCAGCCCTGTGCTAGGATGCTACTGGTTGAAACCCTGGGGTCCAGGGTTTGTTAGAGTGGGTGCTTGGGGCCCAGGAATGCTTCACCTGTCCTATAGGATAGGCAAGGAATGGGCGTTGGGGTACTTGCCTGGTGTCCAGAAAGTTCCCTAGGGACTGGACCATGGTGGCCTGACTGCTGAATCCTGTCCCTCCTGTGTTGTGTGCCCTCCCCCCCCCCCAGGAAGCTCCTGCGTTATTACAGCAAGAGCCACCTGGCTGAGGCTGTCAGGTGCTACGAGCTGCTGGCCCTCCATCTGTCGGTCGTCCCCACAGACGTGGCGGTGCAGCAGGCAGGCGAGCTGGCCCGACGTCTGTGGGAGAGCTCCCACGTCCCCCTGCTCTAGGCCGTGCCAACTGACCAGCAGGCTCTCAGGTCGATCCCCACCACCTGACGTTCCCCATGTCAAGCAGCCGATCTGGGCAGCCATCCTATAATAGACAGAACACACACATACACACACACACACACACCCCACCACCACCACCGCTACCACCCCTGAAAAGCCAGTGTTTTCTAAAGAGGATCCTCTACACAGGTGGCCAGCAGGCCCTGAAATCCTTCTCTGTGAAGGGCAAGGGAAGCCCGTGGGTGTCACCTGTCTCCTCAAAGCCATCTCCCTGTCACCCCAGGAGACTGGAAAAGGTCCCAGTGCCTGAGGGGTGGGAAGACCCCCTCCTCCTGCTGCTCTCTGAATGGGCAAAGCGCCCCTCCCTGCTTTCCTCCCAGAGAGAAGGTGCTTCCCTGCCTGCCACACCCAGTCCGAGGCTCTGGGCAAGTTTCTTACACGCTGAACCTGTTTCCTCACTGGTAAAATGATGTCACCCACCTCACAGGGTCCTTGTGAGGCTTACCAGGCACACAGTAGGTGCTCAATAAAAGTCAGCATTGTTAGTGAAAAAAGAGCAGACTCCCATGGCTACCACAGTGCGCTCAACCAACCAGCATCGCTAGGCTGGCACAGACCTGGAGGGGCCCTGCTGTTGGGACTGGCCAACCCCGACCCCATCCTGGTGCCTCTGCCCCAGGGCTGCCAGACTCCGCATCCTGGTGGACACCAGCTGCCTGCTCTGCAGGAAAGCCCGGGCTTTGGGATGCATTAAAGCTTCCCACATGATTCTAAGGTGCCCTGGGTTGAGAGCCACCCCAAGGAGCACAGCACCCCTCTTCCTACCAGCAATCCTTGCCTCCAAAAAGGGTGTGTGGACCATGGGAAAGTACACCGGGGAGGGGGCTTGCCTGAGGGGTCCACCCACACTCCGCCCCCTGCTCATGGCCCAGATGAAAGAGCAGACATCCGCCACAGCAGGGAAGTGGGTGCATTCAGGACACCGAGTGGGTCCCAGCCGCTGCGTTGAAGGTTGAGAACCGCTGTTTTAGGGCTTGAAGATTTGGGGACCTTAGGAAGGTGAGAGATGGCCAGACTTCATAAGGAGGCAAGGCCCTAACCTCAACCCCTAGTGAGCTGCCCCAAAGCCCGCCCCCTCCGCCCACACACACACCCCTGCCTTGGTGGCCCCTTGTGTCTGTGAGCCCTCCGTGTTGTTGCTGAAGCCCGGGCCACACAGATGTTTGGGGGCTTTTGGCCACTAACCTCTGTAACTCCCTGTGCCTCCTGTGGTCAGCTCACACCCAGGCAGAGGACTCAGTTGGAGCAGTCTGCCAGGACCCCACCCCTTCTGGTTCTTACAGTTCGTATCCAGACTTTTGGGGCAGGAGAGGCAGTTCTTTGGCATGAACCCCACCCCCCACTCCTGACACCCCCTTTTTGCTCCCTGCTGCCCTCTCCTGCCCAGTGGAGAGCTCTGGGGCTGACACAGGAGCCCCTGGGAGACTGGCTGGTGGTTTGCATCCACTCAAGTGCTTGGGAAGACATCGCTGTGCACAAACTCAGCCACCAAAACCCCCACGGCGCGCAGCTTCCCTCTGACCGACAAGGGGGGTCCCGAGTCGGAATGGACTTAAGGGCACCCGGTGTGGTTTGGGGGGAAGGGGGGATGAGGGGTTTGCTTAAACCAGAGGCTGCCCAGAGCATACGAGGCCCAGTGCCTGGGGCCTGGGGCTCTGAGCTAGCCAGCCCATAATCATTCTCCAGAGTCCTGGACAATGCCCCTCTGCTGGTTAATGGATAGCCTCCTCTGGGCGCCTCTTCCCCCTGAGCTGCTCAGGGGGACCCAGGGCCCAGAGCCAAGGCTGGGAAGCTGGGCTGTAGCGCCTCCCATCTTGCTGCTGTCTCCAGGCCCCTCCCGTTCTGAAGGGACACAAAAAGCTGATTGCAAGCAAATCCCCGGTTTCCTGCTCTGAACGGAGCAGAAATGGCTGCCGGCCGGGCAGGTCTGAGCCGGGCCCTGCACGCTGCCCCCAGCCTGGCTTGGAGAGGAGCTCACTCCAGGGCCCAGGGAGGCCCGCAGCCTGAGTACGACGCGGTGGTGATAGGAGCAGGTAACATGGGGCCGGGCCACAGCTGTGGGGAGGGTGGCTGCCCTGCACAGAGGCCTGGAGGGATGTCTTCATGAAGCCCTGCTGCCAACCCCACCTCTGGACACCGCAGGCCAGGGATTTGAGTGGAAGAGGGAGGGGCTATGGTGGAAAAAGTTTAGTGTGGAAGTCAGTCATTCCCAGGGCAGGCCAATCCTTTCCCTCCCCGGGCTTGTCGCCTCCAGAATGACCAGGGAGGTCTAGACAAGCTTGCAAACGTGGCTAATTCCCACGACGGTTTGGGGAAGCGTAAGAAGTCCCAGGTGGGCACAGAGCTAAACACTTGACCACCAACTGAAAGGTTGGCAGGTTGAACCTACCCAGAAGCCACTTGGAAGCAAAGAAGCCCATAGCTAGGAAGCAGGTCTACACCACACACATGGGCTTTCCATGAGTGGGAATCGACCCTGCGGGATGGAAGGGTGGGAAAAAAAGAGCCCTGGAGCAGCACGAAGCAGGCGGCCTTGAAGGACCTGCATCAGGGTGGCCACCACGTCACCGCTAAGATCCCCTGAGGAACCAGGAGTCGTCTGTCCACTCGCGAAGTAGGGGGAAACGAACCACGTCCCGGCCCCCAGGGTGGGCAGCCTCCGTTTTCTTTCCCATTCGAGGCTCTTGCCCTGAGCCTGCCACACTTGACTCACCCAGGCTCCCTCCCCACCCAAGCCCATGGCCATCCATCCAGTCAATTCCAACTCATAGGGCTCCCTCCAGAGGACAAGTGTAGAACTGCCCATTGGGTCTCCAAGGAGCACCTTGACAGACGGAGCCTTGGTGGTGCAGTGGTCGCATTCGACCACTAACCACGAGGTCAGCAGTTCAAAGCCACCAACTGTACCCCAGGTGAAAGATGGAGCTGTGTGCTCCCGTAGAGAGTTACAGCCTCAACATCCCACAGGGCAGTTCTTGCCGGTCCCACAGGGTGGCTCATGAGTCAGAATCAACTCAAAAGCAGTGAGTTTGAGTTTTGAACCGTGGCAGGGGCAGCTCTCTTTTTTTCTGCAGAGTAGCTGGTGGGTTGGAACCACTGGCCTGTTGGCTAGCCCTCAGGGCTCCTTCATGTATGTACAACACCCCGAGTCCAAACCATTCCTGTCGAGTCATCTCTGACTCATGGCCACCCCCTGGGCTGCAGAGTAGAGCTGCTGCACCGCGCTCTCCCACCCATCATCCTTAGGGAAGCAGGTCACCCAGCCTTTCTGTCCTGAGGCCGCTGAGTGGGTTGCAACCAACAGCCTCATCGATGAGTCGCCTCGAGAAAACCACTATCACCACCCAGGGACGGCACGTGGACATACATGCGTCTACGGCAATTGGCACCCAGAACAGGCAGTGCTCTTGGTTAAGTTCCAGGAAGCCAACCGATTCTCGCCAAATACTTTCTTCAATTTCTGCCAAGCCCCATACTCAACCTATGGGGCCTGCAATGGATGGATCAAGGTTGTCCCAAATGGAATGTCATTTGATACCTTTGTTTGTGTCTAAAGACTAGGACAAAAGCAAGACAGCAGGGAGGCTATGTGGGCTAGGGCGTTGGGCCGCTCACTTCAAAGTCGGCGCCTCAAACCCGCCAGCCTCTTTGCTGGAGAAAGGTGAGGCTGGCTGCTCCCCTGAAGATTTCCAGTCTTGAGCACTCTAGGGTCACCTGAGCCAGAGTCAACTCGATGGCAGAGAGGTAGGAGAGGTTAGATGA